AGAATAGAGATGGGCTGATTCTACATGAGACTCCAATAACTCAGAGACACCCTCAAAATTGTATTGACACAAAAAGAGCTGTGCATAAATCACTTAAAAATGAGGAGGGCAAATGCACCCGTGTTAGAAGGGCATCTTTATCCAACAATTCCTAACAACACAGGAGCCAAGTGGGAAGGGACAGAGCTCAGAAAACAAACCTGCTAATATGAACAACAAAAGGGAACAGCCATCCCCCCAAACTTCTCAGGAGAATGATGGATAGAAAGTTAATGTAGGAGAGGGAGGTTAAAGATAAATGAAGGAAGTAATACTGAGCATGTGAAAAAAAAAGAACTGAAGTATTCAGATCTGAACTCCCAAACTGGGATTAAAGAATCCAAAAAAGGATTTGAATCCCAATGATAGGCCAAAGCATGAGTGTCAGAAGTGTGGGAGAGGGGAGGCATGTTAATCCCCAAACAAAATTGCTCTTCAAAACACTCAGCAAGAATATGGGTAACATCCAAGGGAAGAAACTGAAAGTATTCAGGAGAAAGAGATGGTTCATACGACACAGGGGATAAGACAAAATGTAACAACTTGTGTAACCAAGTTCAGAAAATCTGATGAAGGTCTAGGGCATCAATTGCATCTGCATTAGATTACACAGCAAAAGAAGGAGGAGGGAAAAGGCTGTTTAAGTCTTCATCCTCCCATCCAGCATCCATAGGGTCAGGGAGAACTGGTTGAGGGTCAGGAGAATCCCCAGTCTGCATGAATGATCCAGTTCATGGTGAATGAGTGCTGAAACTTCCTCTGATGATAACATTGCACCTGTAGTCATAGCTACAGGTGGTTGATCTATGGTAGTAGTAGCAGTTAAAAAAAGGCATATCAATAAACTGCAAATTCATAACTGAATTTAAAATGGGTAAATAACCCAAGATGAAAAGTCTTGGAAAAAAAAAATCCACAAAATAAATTCAACTCGTACAGAACTGCATTTAGACTACCAAAGTTGAAAAATAAATAATAAAAATCTAAATTTAAAACTATGAACAAATTTAAGCAAAATTTGAAAACTGAAAGCATGGTCAGCAATAAGTCTAAACAAGCTGTGTGAGGAGAGTTTGTTGCACTCCTATTGGTGGAGAGTTTTTGAATGGTTATTTATATGTTACAATGCAGCTGAACCATGTTAAACATGAAGAGGTAGATGGGGATATCAAGGCTGGTAGCAAGCAAAAAATGTGAGCATATAGAGGGCAGTAACAATCAAGAAAAGCTATTATGTGAGGGTGGTGAGGTATTGTACTGGAACCTCCAAAATAAATATAAAATGTTTTTTTTTTCAGTAAAACATTATTTTATGTTATTTTTTCT